AGCTAGACTCAAAATCAAAAGGTACCAAAATGCTAACTAAAAAGCTAGCTAAAAGTGAGCTTAAAATTAAAAGTGGCAACATTCTAACACAAAAATAATGCTAGCTAAAAGTAGCTAAAGTTTATTAAAACAGAAGTAACAAAATGATAACTAAACATGTAAAATGCTAGCTGAAAGCAGTCAAATCTAGCTTAAAGCTAAATGCTCCCTAATGAATAGTTAAATTTTACCTACAAGCTAATAGAAATAATTAGCTAATTAATTATTATAAAAGGTGTGCTAGATTAAAGCTATAAGTATTAAATGATGAATAACAAAACCACAGCTAAAAAATATAGTATCAAATGTTACCTAAAGTAGTGAAATGCTAACTAAAAGCTAATCACAGAAAAATGCTAGCCATAAGTAGGTAAATTCTGTCCAAAAATTACCAAACGGTTAATTAAAAAGTAAAGTTCTAGCTCAAAGTAGCAAACATTTAGCTGTGGCTAACAGCTAAATGTTTTTTTTTTTTAACATAAACTCTGTCCTGATGGTTGGAAAACTACGACTTCTGAAAAACAACATTCAAACAGAAGCGAACAGAACTGTGTTTGTAAAATAAAACGATAAAGTTTTTTCACTGAGGTTCTACGAGGCTGAGAGTCCAAACCGAATGATGTCATCTCAATGTTTCTCATCGTTGCTGCGATTAATGCTGGGCCGAACGAACAAATGAAAGTTTGTCCTCGTTGGCTGAAATGAAGGAGACGGGACTTTGTTGCTGGAGATTGTCTTGTTGTTTCAACCAAAACAGGAAACAAGTATTTCAAGCTAATCTTTAGATCTGCGGCGAACGTCTCCTCCGACGGATTAAAGAAACTAAAATGTTTTCAGGAACGAGCTCTTTTGTTCCTCCTGGACAGAAACAGAACGACGGCAACAATTTTCTCATTTCTTTTTGCCTGAAAGCAGCAACGAAGACAAAGCGTGAATTATTATCAGGCCCGGGCAGACAAGCGCTTCGGCTTCTTAAAAAGCTTAAAACAGGCGAGAAAGAGCCGAAGATCTCCTGACGCCGAGGTGCAGAACTGCTTGTTTTGTTCTGCTTCTCTTTCCGCTTAGCGTATTTTTAATTGATGTTTTTCTTAGTTCATATCTTAAATCTTATTACTGTTTTTCTTTTACATTTCATTGTTGGATGTATCTGGGACCCTGTGTACACAATCTCGTTCCACCACATGTACCACACGTGATGCGAATGACAATAAAGAAACTGACTCTGAAAGACAGGCTTCACCTGATGGAGAGGTGCAGCAACACAAAGTAAGCATCCAACCTGCTGCAGCTAAAGAGAAACTCGCTGAAACAGAACGTGAACGACTTCGTCTCAAAAGGTTGTGCGACAAAATATCTATAGAACCTTCGTTTTTAGTCATGACCAGTTTATTAGTTTGTTTTTAAAAATAAAATTATTTTTTAAATTGTTTATTGTTTTTAATTACTTTTGTCAGTTTCAGGTTGTTTCAGAGACATTTGTGGCTTTTTGTTGCCCACCGTCACGGTGATCTTCTCTCCGTCCGTGAATGTCTTGAGCTCCACAACTTGAAAAGTAATCGAGGTATCGACTTCCGTTTCGGTGCGTGGCTGCAGGATGGTGAATATGAAGTTGCCGCAACAAAATCCAAGATGGCCGCCGCCATGTTTATGTAAACCTTGTGAGCTTGAAAAGTGAGCAACGGGCAAACTTCGGTTTTGATGTGAGGCTACATAAAGGTGAATATGGCACTGCTATAACAAAATCCAAGATGGCTGCCTCCATATAGGTACAGCAGCCACCAGATGTCGGGTTTAAATGAAAAGGTGGACGAGAACAGAAACGTAAGCTGTGAACATCAAGAGTAATTTATCTGTCTTGAATAGGGATGCACGATATTATCGGCATGGTATCGTATCGGCCGATATTTGCTTTAAAGTTAAATATCGGACATCGGCCATTCCATCAAAACAACTCACAGATATAAAAAGCTCTGT